CCGTACCCCCCCCTTTCAGACCCCCCCGCCCCTCTCACCTGTTACAGGGGTCCGAGAGGTCCCCGAATTCGTGGATGTGGAGCCCGTGGGGGCCGGGGGGGAGCCCGGACACGGCGCCGTCCACGAGGCAGCAGCCGGGGGAGAGCTGCAGGAAGCGGAGCAGCCCCCGGACCCCCCCGGGACCCCCCAGCGCCGCCACCGCCGCCCCCCCGGGGGGAGCTGGGGGGAGAAACGTCAGGGTCGGGCACCCCCAAAACCCACCCGGCACGAAAATAACGTCAGGGAGATGAAAATGGTCCCCAAAAGTGACAATAAACCCCAGCCGGGGAGAGCAAAACTCCGCCAGGGGCATCCAGACCCTCCCAGGACCCCCCAAAACCCCTCTGAGACCCCTCCAAACCCCTCTGTGCCCCCTCAAACCCCCACAGGACAGCCGGGGAGAGCAAAACTCCGCCAGGGGCATCCAGACCCTCCCAGGACCCCCCAAAACCCCTCTGAGACCCCTCAAAACCCCTCCAGGACCCCCCAAACACCCAAAGGACCACCCAAAACCCTCTGTGACCCCCATAAACCCCTCTGTGACCCCCCCAAACCCCCACAGGACCACCCAAAACCCATCTGAGACCCACCCAAAACCCTCTGTGACCCCCCAAAACCCCCACAGGACCACCCAAAACCCTCTGTGACTCCTCCAAACCCAACTATAACCCCCCTGTGAGCCCTCTAAACCCCTCTGTGAGCCCCCCAAACCCCACTATAACCCCCCTAAACCCCACTGTGAGCCCCCAAACCCTTCCAGGACCCCCCAAAACCCCTCTCACCCTCAGGGGAACCCCCCCAATCCGTCGAGCACAACCCCCCACCCCCAAATCCCTGACTGTGCCGGGCCACAGCAGCACCCAAACCCCACCGGGACACCCCCAAAACCCCTTCAGGACACCCCTAAACCATTCCAGGACCCCCCCAAAAAACCCCACGGACCTTCGGAGGAGCCCCCCATGCCCTTGAGCACGGCCCTGCACCCCGAACTCTCCAGCAGCTCCCGCACCCGCTCGGCCGCCGCCGTGGTCTCCACCAGCACCGACTGCTCCTGGGGCCGCAGCTCCAGCAGCTTCACCTCTGGGGGGGCACACAGCGGCTCGGGGGGGTCCCCCAAAACTTTGGGGGGCTTCCCCGGGGTCTGGGGAATGGGCGGGGGTCTCACCCGGAGCCGCCTCCAGCGCTGCCCGCACAGCGTCGGCGCAGCCCTGGCAGCTCATCTGCACG